CCGGCTCGCTGCGGGCCCGGGCCGGCCCCTATCCCTGTCCCTTAGGGGCCCCAAATTCGCCGTTTCTAACCTTCCCCTTCAGTTTTGGGGAGAATGGAATGAGTAGTTTTTAAAAGTAATTGACGGCCGTTTTAACTGCTGCCTAAACCGTCTCCAAGCCTCGCCTCCAGACACCCCCGTTTGCACTGATTTCAGAGTTTGGAGAGGGAGGTGGGGGGCGGCAGGGGGTTTTGAGAACTCGCTCCTGGGAGTGAGACCCCAAGACTGAGCAGGGGGTTTGCAGAGGAGACCCTGCCTCCGGACGCACTGGTTTTCCCACTGTACAAAGTGGATTGTTGTCACCGGTGGGAGCTATAAGATGCTCCTCTCGGGGGGGTCTCGCATCTCAATCCTTCAGGGCCCGATCTGGGGAGAGGGGAGCAGGCTTTCCTCTCCTGAGAGGTCAGGAACAATTTGTTGAGAATGGGTAGGCGTGTGACCTGGAGTCCTTGTGCCCCCTGAATGTGTGTGCAAAACACACATTTTGTGCATTTTTCTGGAGAGCGAGCCCAACGCTATCACCAGATTCTCAAAGGGGCTCAATGTCCCCAAGGGCTTCAGAACCTGGGTGCCAACCCACGGGAGCGAGACTGGAGGGCCGAGTCTTTACGCGGAGGCGCCCGTGGAACTCTGGACAGGACCCAGGGAATGCTCCAGTCCTCCTCTCGCTCGCCCGAGTCGCTGGGGCTCAGCTTTCGCGGTGCCAGGCGAGGCCGTGGCAATCGGTCGGACCCTGGCATTCCTCCCGGGTGGACGCAGGGTTGTGCTCTGCGGGGCGCAGAGGCTGAAAGACAGCGAGCGGGCCGAGGCCGCTTGCGCGCTCTGCGTCGGGGTTTCCGCCCATCCGCGCAACTCTGCGGCCCCGCGGCGCTCCCGCCAATGCCCAGGTCCCGGCTTCTCCCCAGCCTGGTCGCCACCGGGGCTGAACCATTTCGTGCTCTGGTCTGTCGCCCCTGCACCCCTGTCCTGTTCCTCTCCCGACCTCGGCCTCCCCAGTGTCTGGCATTCTGTCTGACGCATCCCCCAGTTTCTGAGCGCATCTGGCTGTCCTCATCTCACATCCTGTTCTTGGGTCTGTCGCTGGGTTTTTCACGTGTGTCTCTAATCACGGCCATCTCATCTCTTTTCTCTTGGCATCTCCTGGGCTACCTGTCTTACTTGACCTTCCATCTCGCGGCGGCTTTGTCTCTGAGTCCCTTTTCTTTTCTTGCCTCCCGTCTCTGAGTCTGGGGGTACCCAGCAGGGGCTCCACTTTGCTCTCCTTCCACTTCGTCCTCTGCCGATCTCTCGCTGCTTCTGGCTCTCACCGTTTCAGTGTCTCTCTCGCTCTCTGTGCATCTTGCACCGACTCCAAGACACTGTCTGGAATGGTTCCCTGTCTCTGCGCCGCTGCAGCCGCGGCCTCGCTCCATCCTCCTGGGTCGGGGAACCTCTGACTGAAGTCTCAGCATCTCTCGCTCTGTCTCTTACCATCTCTGAGTCTCTTCCCTAGCGCTTCTGTGTCTCTTTCTCCTTTTCCCGCATCTCTCATTGTCTCTCTCTTCCCAACTTGACCCCTGGGTCTTCATCTCGGCCGCCACCTCCAGCCTCCCTCACCCTTGGCCTCAGCAGGCCTCTCCGTGGGTCTCTAACCTAGAATCAGTGTCGCAAGGTGCCCCATTAATGACCTCTCCAGGCGGCCCCAACCAAGTCCGTGCGTGCGTGCGTGTGTCTCTGGCCGTAGCCTCCCAGGTCCCCTCCCCCGGTCCCGCGAGTCGCTCACTGCCCTCGCTCTCTCTCACCTCTCCCCTGTCTCTTCCCTCTTCCCCGCCCCCTCCGCAGACTACCAAGGCGACTACTATGGGCCGGGAGGCAATTACGACTTCTTCGCGCACGGCCCGCCGTCGCAGGCGCAGTCACCGGCCGACTCGAGCTTCCTGGCCGCCTCGGGGCCCGGCTCCACGCCGCTGGGTGCGCTGGAGCCGCCGCTGGCCGGGCCACACGCCGCCGACAACCCCAGGTTCACCGACATGATCTCGCACCCGGACACACCGAGCCCTGAGCCGGGCCTGCCGGGTGCTCTGCACCCCCTGCCAGGCGAGGTGTTCAGCGGGGGGCCCAGTCCGCCCTTCCCCATGAGCGGCGCCAGCGGCTACAGCGGACCCCTGTCGCACCCCAACCCCGAGCTCAACGAGGCCGCCGTGTGGTAAGGCCACCAGGCCGGGCCGCCCCACCCCCACCCCCAGACGCAGCCTCCCCAAAGCAAAACGCCCGACGCGGCCGTGGCCGGGGGCTCCCTCAGGGGTTCTCTCTCGGGTCCGCACTCAACTGGCAGCTGCATCTCGGCTGGGCGCGGAGGGGGACCGACCCCCATCTGCACCCCGCGGGCGCTCCGGGACTCCCGGCCCTCCGCCAGCGCTCTCCCGGCAGCCTCGAGCAATTTCTTGGGACCAAAGTCAATACTGCAGAGGGTCAAGAGTTCTCAAGCACGCTGTAGACTTCCCCGACTCCCCACCCACCACCTCTTTGGACCAAGAGACGGTTGAGGCCAAGGGGCGGAGACGAATTTTCCCTCCTCTCCGCCATCAGAGTGGTATTTTGTAATCGTATTTCTCACTCTGCTTTCCTCATCTTTCAAACAAGATAAGAAAAAGAGAGATTGGACGGAGAGAGAGGACAGGGAGCAAAATGAGGAAGAGAGGCGACGGCAAGAGCGCCGGCCAGAAAGAGAAGACTCGAGAGAAAGCGGGAGAGAAACAGGCTTGAACGCGGGTGTCACTGGAAGACAAATCCGCCTGCGCGTTGGCACCCCCTGGTGGCCAACCCTGAGGATCAAGGTCTGCTTGCCTGGGACGGTGGAGCGGTCTTGGACATCTCCAGCCTTGGGCCAGGCCATCCCGTCCTTCCTTACTTTGGCATTTATTTCGAGCCCGGGGGTCCAGGCCAGACTCGAACGCTCGCTCACCCTGCTCTCCCCTTGGGCAAGGCGCCAAGATTTCTGGGCTGTGGCCCACAGACCACCCTCCCTGCACCGGGGCCTGGAGGCTGGGTCGTCAGGATGTACAGTATTATACTTTTTTGGAAGGTGAACGCTTCTAGTTTCCTTATTTTGTATAAAGAAGAAACAAATAAAGTATGTTTTTGTGTTTACTGTTTATTTATTGTACTCTAGTTATCTGGGGTTGGACATTTTTATATTTTTAAGAGGAGGGTGGGCAGAGTGAGGGAGGGGAAGCAGAAAGAGGTTTACCTAAAAAAATACCACAAAAAGAAAAAAAACAAAAAATCAACTTTTTTAAAAAAGAAAGATTAATAAAAAAATTCTTTTCCCTCAGCGCTGTGTGGATTTCTTTTTTTTGTCTGTCTTCGTAGTCATTTGGAGTGAATGGAATTATTCTTTTCTCTGGTTCTTGTTGCTGACATAAAACAGACTTCATAGGTGCAAAAACCTCTCTTTGTCTAAACGGGGGGTTCTTTTGATAACTATTAGGTAAGGAAAGTGGCTGCCTTTTTTTTTTGTGACCGCTCCTATGTGCCAGGCACAGTATCTCCCCATGCTTTATGTAATACCCCAATCTTGCACAAACCTGCCTGGGACATAGCAAGCCTTTAAAATATTTGATGAATGAACGGATGTGTGATGTGTTTGTCCGCCGTACATTTGGATGGATCCCTTTTGCCCAAGCTTGGGGGGAGGGGCGGGGGCTTGCCCATGTTAGCGGTGGCAGGGAAAGGAAAGGGGGAGGTCCAAGCAGATGGGGAGAAAGGAACCCCCATGGAATGGGCACGTGCTAAGAACCTCTACTCCTCCTGTCTTTCTCTCATGTGGACTTCAGAAGAAGAACGCAAGGTGGCCTGGCTTCCTCTTTTCTTTTCCTTGGCGGTGCGTTTGTCTTTATCAGACAAATGCTCCTTGCTCATTGTGGAAAATTTAGAAATGTTGGATAAACGAAAAGAAGAAAACGGAATCACCCAGAATCTCAAGCACGTGGTACTATAGTGGATGCATCTCTTTCCAGAGGTTTTTTGTTTTTTGGTTTTTTTTCATTTAAAAACTAGAGATCCTACACACATATACACAGAGCGTATAGGTGCCCCTCGCACGCCAACTTCCGCCTGGGAGCAGGGGGAGTGGGGACATATTTGAATAACCCCGGGGGCCCATCAAGTCCCAGATTTCAAGCGGGATGCTCACTTCTGGGGTCACGATCAGTACTTGGAGCTGACCGCCCGCTACCCTTTCTCTGAGTGTTCTCAAATGAGGGGGTTGGGAGGAGAGGTCACCCCGGAGTCAGATGGAGGCAGAACGGAGCAGGAACCTGGCTGGTCACAGTGTCATTCTTCTGAGCCTTGGTCTGCTCTACTGTAAATTGGGCTCACAGTGGCCTTTCATCCACGTCGGAGAGAGATCATTTAACCTGTGGCCAAGGTTCAGGAAATCTAGGTCCCATCCTCCTGCAAATGCATAGACACACACATGCACACAAACAGGCACACACAGACAGACACGTACCAGCTTCCTTGGAGGATGACAAGGGAAGAGAGGGGGACCCTTGTCAAAAACAGCTCCATCCTACCTCCATGTCAACTCCCCAAGTGCCTAATGGGCTCTGAAAGGAGAAATCCCTCCCCCACCCCACCCTGTGGTGGTGGCGCTGCAGTGTCGCAGTAATGGCATTGGGTGCACTTGGTTAGGGAGGCAGTTCCTAAGGAAGGCTGGGTGGAGAAAGGGGAGCGTTGGGATGGGACATTTGTCCCTGGATACCCACGACCGTTTTCTCAAAGCGTGACCAGAGGTCGATGCTTGTTGTTGAACATGCATATTCCCAGGCCCCTCAGCGCATGGCGGGGATTGCTCCCCGGTATGGCGCCCCGTTGATTCTGATGCCCCCAAACTTGCAGGACCACTGCCCAGAGTGTAGTTTGGTCCTCACAAGGCCCCTTCAGGATGAATGTTGTCATCCCCATTTTGCAGATGAGGAAACTGAGGCCCAAGAGGTGAAGGGAGCTGCCTGGGGTCACATGGCTGAGGAGGAACAGAGCCCACTTTGAAATCAAGAACTTCTGCTTCCACAGCCTACATGGTCCCTGGACCCAAAGCCTGGCCTAGGTAAGTTCTCATTCTGTGTCTAGTAACTACATGGATGAGTCAATAAATGAATGAACGAACAATCGCGTGGACAAACAAGTGAGTGAAGGAATAAAAAACGAAATGTAGGTACTCCAGCTGCCAGAAAAAGAGATTGTTTAAGAAAGGGTCTAATAGATGCTAATTCTGGCTGCCTGCAACCTCACTGGGTTTTGTTTAAAATGCTTTCCTGGGTTAAACAAAGCGAGCCGGAAGGGCAAAGAGCATAATGAAAATTGCCAAGGCCGTCCACTTTTTCCTGCTTGCCCTCGTTTCCTTCTCTCTCCCTCCCCCCAATCCCTCCCCTCTTTTAATGTATCTGTTTATCTCCTTCTATCTCTTCATCACCTGTATTTATTATCATTTAAAAATAAAAGATTTCCGAGAGGGAAAAAAATACTGTCAGGTATACCCCTGACTGTGCCCTCCAGCTTTGGGGAAAGGAGGAGATAGCCTCCCCCTTGCTGCCCCTAGGTTGTAATTCTGGCCAAGACCGGACAATTGAAAGCACATGTACCCCAGCCCCCGTCACGCATGCTCTCCCCCACTTCCATCCCTGTCCTCCTGCCCCGAAATAAACACCCCACAGAGCATGAGAGCTGACCCACTGTGCTTAGGACTAATATTTAAAATGCAGAATGGCTGTGGAGGGCTCCTGCTCCCAAGCCTTGTCGTGCAGTAAAAAGATATAAACAGAATAAATTACCTCTCCAGCTCGGATTATGAGAATACCCATCTCCTGACCGGAATTTTAAGTCCTGCCTCCCTCGTAGCTCCGCACACGGCTGATTTATGGAAACCAGAGCACTTCTCTGCATATTTCTTCTGTTCAGCCAAGTGACTGAGTTTACCCTTCCTATGCCATTAGCGTTATTAACACCTGGGCAACCGATCATTGCAAATGGGCCATTTCTGTGATGAACGGGAACCTCTCCAGCCGCTTCTCCCAGGCCGGGCCACCTCCGGCCTCCTCTTTCTGCATTTTGTGCTGGGGCTCAGAACCACCCTCGCTTCCCCCAGTACCTGCCAGTGGGCTCTGGGACCTCTGGAAGGAAACTCCCCACCCCAGCAGGTAGGTGCCTGTGGTTTTCTAGCAAGCACGCAGAAAACGACTACTTTGCTCTCATGTTTCATGTTTTAGAGAATGTTCCAGATGGAAGGCAATGCCCCCATTGACCAGGGAAAGAAATCGAGGCTCAGGGAGCGCAAGGGACTGGCCTGAGGTTGTACAGGCGGTTTACGGTGAAGTTGGAATCGGAATTCAGATCTTCTAGCCCCTTGATACTCCAAGTGTGGTCCTAGGTGATCCTGTCTGATCTCGGAAGCTAAGCAGGGTCGGGCCTGGTTAGTACTTGGATGGGAGACCACCTAGAAAGACCAGGTGCTGTTGGCGTAAAAAGTAAAAAATAAGGGATTGTAAACTGACAAGGTCCTTGCAATCTGTGAGGTCAACCAAGGGTTGCCTCGCCTAAAAAAAAAAAAAAAAGCGTGGTCCTAGGACCTGCAGCAGCAGCATCACTGGGAAGCTGGGTAGCAATGCAGATTCTCAGGCCTCGCTTGAGAACTTCAGAACCAGAATGCACACAATCCCCCGGGCATTTGGGTGCACAATCCGTTTTTGAAGCATTGGCTTAGAAACACACCCAGATTCTCAACCATCCCTTCCTCACTGGAGGAAAGCCTTATGATGTAAATTCTCTTCACTCAGAAGTAGCAGAGGCCCCAAGTCCATGGTCAAATTAAACAAAGATGAAGCAGCCAGACAAGCCAGTGATATCCGCCTGGTACCTGCAGCTCTCCGTTCACTTTTTCCTCCTCTATAACATCTCAACCCACATCCTGCCTTTGTCCCCTTCCCCAGGCTGTGAGCAGCTTGAGACCAGGGACTGTGTGACCTGACGATGGGCATGAAAACGCTCTAAGCCTCAGCTTTGCCATCTTTTAAAAGGGCACAATAATCTCTAACGTCCAGGATCACTACAAGGGTTAGATAAGGCCACATATATCATAGTCTAAGCACAGCGCCTGGCACGGAGCAGGCTGTTGAGTCATCGACACTGAACGAAATAATAATAATTTAGTAATAACAGTGGCCATTCATTAGATGCTGTAATCATCGTTATCGTTATCCAATTTTCTCCTTTAAATCGTTTTTAAAACAAGGACTAATTTCATGGCCTCTTTGGACACATGTGCTGTTTATTACTTTCCACAACATACATTAAAATCTCTTCATTGTTTAACACAAAAAATTGTATGGCCTGTGAAGATGAGGATGGGTCTGCCATAGAGTAGAAGGTCAAGGCCCAATGAGGAATCATTTGTACCATCGGGCTGCAGACACCATCGGTGGATGAATAGATG